CCCCAAAACCCCAAAACCCCAAAACCCCAAAACCCCAATTTATTAAAGGCATAATTTTAAGGGGGATATTTTGAATTTTAATCTACGAAATATTATTAAATGCAGAAATCTTTAGAAATCATTTAAGATTTGACTATTCATTAAATAATAAACTTATCCAAGGAATTCAAAATAATGGAAAAACAAACAGTCGATTGTGATGTTATTGTCGTTGGCCTTGGGTGCTTTGGCCTAGGAGCAACATATTATATGTCAAAGATGGGACTTAAAGTAATTGGATTTGACCAAGCCCATAAACCTGGAGCAATTGGATCTGGCTCAGTAGGTTATGGCCGCATCTGGAGATATCTGCATGCAGAAGACAGGTACTGTCAAATGCAAAAAGAAGCAGAAGAGATATTCAAAGAAGTTGAGAATAAAACTGGAAAAGAGATTCTTCATGGAGGTGGCTTACTATATATGAAGAAGAAAGACCATCCTGAGTTAAATGAATTACAAAAATATGGGGAAAGACTTACAGCAGCTCAAATTAGGGAGAGATACCCAGCATTGAAAGTTCCAGATTATCTTGAGGGAGTTTTTACAAAAGATGCAGGAGTTGTGAGAGTAAAGGAGTCATTGACATTATTTAAAGAGTAGTCGGAAAACCAAGGAGCCATTTTGAAATATGATACCACTGTGAGTCACATTGATCATCAAAATAGCATTGTAACATTAGAAAATGGAGAGAAATTCAGAGCAAAAAATGTCGTCGTCACTTGTGGCGCCACTACTGATCAATTCTATTAATAGAAGGATTAGTTTAAGGCTAGAAAATAGTTGATCAATTGCTTCTATTTAAGTGATAATGTTAATTTACCAACAGCATTCTTGATGGAAGATTTAGAAGAAGCTGGCGGTATTATGGTATTTGGTACAATTGATGGTGAAAATTTTTCTACCTATAAAGTGGGCAATGAGTGTGATGATATTGACCCTCATTTAATGTTGAAAATTATGAGAAAGATCCTGCCTACAAAGATTGCAAAAATAGATCATGTTTAGACTTGCTTCTATTCAATGAGCCAAGACGATGAATTCATTTTCGAAAAGCATGGAAAAACAGTCTATGGATTCGGCTGTAATGGAAGAGGATTCAAACATATGCCTTATCATGGCAAAAGAATATATCACCTTG